AAGTGACTGGAGTTCAGACGTGTGCTCTTCCGATCTTTTCTAAAAATAATTTCAATGAAAATTAGGTATTTTAAGAACAAATCTTGCCAATTTATAAAGTGACTTATTAATAAAAACCGTTTACATAATTAAAATTATATTAAAAAGTACTGTTCACATTATCATGGAAGTTAAGACAGATGGGATAAGATTATACATACAAATGTTTTATTTGTTATTATAACGTAAAAAAAGGAAACATATATTTATGGAAAGAATGTTTATAACGTAATGTAAAAAAAAGAACATACAATGTTTATATATGTGTAAAACGCTAAAAATAGGCACCGATCTGGCACACACTATTTGAATTGTACAAGTGCGAATATGCACCACAACGAACTTGTGAAGTTAATATTTCGTTAATCCGCACGAAATTGAAGCTGTGCATGTTCGTACCTGTCACCTGAGATACCGGGCATATTTAACGTAGTGGGGATAAGCCGCGACAAATGTCTCTGTGCAAATGCCAACAATTCGAAAATTTTCGCGGTGCGAATTCGCACTCTTGTACCATTTGAAGGTTAATATTCAATATATATAATATTCAAAGCTCATTAAAATTAGAAGATCAGTTGGTAAATAAACTTGCCTGCAGCTATATTAATGTGAAATATATACATATATAACATATTTAAAACGGTAAAATTTCTATTAAACATTGCAACAATATATTCATAGACTATTTCCAATTTTAACAGTTGTTTTTTTTTGAACATTATATGTATAATAATGTAACAAAAAACAATTAAATACGCACATTAAAAGCTCTACAATTGTATAACTTAAACTTAGAATTGTTACTGAAAATAATCTATATCCTTATAAAAAATAATTATTTGTATTACTTTTTCTACTACTAATTCAAGAAACAATTTAGTTTAAAAATTTATTTTAACTTGAACTTAGTAGTTATAATTTTTATGAGAAAGAGTAACCAGAATAGACATACAAATTTGTTATTGTGTTAATATCCAACAGTTTACGGTAAATATTTGAAATGTAGTAGTTGATATTCGAAAATGATATCCCTTGCACTCTTCGCATTAAGAAAGAATTAGTCTAATAATAATAACATCGTGTAACTCGCACCTTGATCTTCGGCGTGGGCATACTTGCCGATCACCGGCGGAAAGGCAAAACCCGAATGCGTAAAAATAGGTCCTGGACTTTTTCCAGATGGCATCCCGTAGGAACCATCGTCTGCCGTGCCTCCGGGGCCGCTTCCGGAGAGGAAGCAGCTATCTTCGCTGCTAGCATATCCAGCCGAACCAAAAGAGGAACCGGAGTGTCGAAATACGTCTGGTACAGCTGGTGGCGCTACTTTCTTCGCTTGAGTCACGGCTTTAGATGGCCGGCTCATACCGCCAACTGTAACATGTAATAGAGAAAAGTTTTAATTCCTTGTTGCATATAGTATCTCGTCTCCTCAGTTCTTTTTTTATATTTGTGCGCATTTCATAATTGATTTGTATTTATAACATTTTATACTTTTACATTCCTGAGACTTGGATATATAGATAACATAAATTAAATATTTATAATGTTAATTTGTTACTATAATTCGACATTTTCAACATATTAGAGCAACAAAATAAAAAAAATTAACATATTTTAATAATACAATGTTTGCGGATTATTCTAAGATCGAATTCATGCGAGCAACTAATTCTTTAGAGATCGGATAACAGAATTCAGAACGAACGGCACGAGCGGCCGGGATAAATAATTTATTTTCAATATGTTAGAGCCAGCAACAAAATCAAAAACGACATATTTTAATAGTATGATGCTTATGGATTATTTTAAAATCGAATTCATGCGAGCAACTAATTCTTTGAAGATCGGGCAACGGAACTTAACGAGCAGGGCGTGCTATGTAGGTTTTCTGCTGTTTTGCTTGTTTATATTTATTTTGCACAAAGTTGGTACGTTTAACTATGAAGACTAACTTGAACACAAAGAAAATTATTTGTATGTGATCTAATTTGTATATGTGAGTTGATGTGTGGTTAATCATAAAGGTACGACAACAGTTATGGAAAACATATTGATGATAGAGACAGGAAGACATTCAAGGTCTTATTAGAAATAGACTTAAAAATTTAAAAAAGTGTGAAATCATGTACAGAATGTAGAAGATGTACAAGGCTTCGAAACGAAGCTTTAAAACGCAAAAAAAATTACTGAAGGTATAGAAGGAAAAGGAACAAATTAATTAAGAAGTTAATAACAAAAAAGATAACATATTACGGATTAATTATAAAACAACATTCGGATTCATTGACGATATGGCAAATAAAATATGGTCAACATCATGGTGTAAGAATATAAGGTAAAACGTGAAACATTGCGCATAATGACGTAGCTTGAAATTTCGACCAATCAGTTGTTCCCTACGCGGAGAAGCGCGTATTTTAAATATAGTAAGTTAATTGGTAATGAAAACATATACATATTACATAGATATATGTATTAGTCTCGGCAATATTTAATTAGCATTTTGGGGAAAAACTGATTGGTTCACTGCTCCCTATTACTTTTACGACGACTGCGCATCCACCAGAATGTTTCACCTTCTATTTTTTACATGGTCAACATATTACCATAAAATTTCTATTGACAAAAATCCAATGCACTCACACTTCTCATCGAAACCAGCTTCATAGTGTAAAATCCGTGTCACATTATCCATTGGAGATTGAGGATTGTGAGTTGCACACCAAAAACGACCGGAAATCGATATGGATTAAAATTAGATTATCTGACTAATCTAAATCTAATCTCCAATTCGCAATTCTTGATCTCCAATGTACGAGGTAGGGTCAAAAAGTTCCCGGAATTGGTCAATAACAATTTATTGAAATAATATACAGTATTCTTACATTATTGTCCTTCAAAATACTGTCCTCCTGCATTTACACATTTGTTCCATCGTTCATGCAACTGTTTAAAACATCCCTGGAAGCCATTTTTGAAAAGCCATTTTTCCTTCAGCTGCTTCGTCGTATTTTTTATCACCTCTGCTGAATTAGCAAAACGGTGTCCCTTCAATTTCATTTTCAGTCGTGGAAACAGGTAAAAATCCGCTGGTGCTAGGTCGGGAAAATAGAGAAAGTGTTCCAGAGGGGTAACATTGAAATTGAAGGGACACCGTTTTGCTAATTCAGAAGAGACGATGGAAAATACGACGAAGCAGCTGAAGAAACTTTCCAAAAATGACTTCCAGAAGTATTTTGAACAGTTGTATGAACGGTGGAACAAGTGTGTAAATGCAGGAGAATAGTACTTTGAAGGACAATAATGTAAGAATACTGTATATTATTTCAATAAATTGTTATTGACCAATTTCGGGAACTTTTTGTCCCTCGTATATAGTGTGACACGGCTTTAGTGGCAGCGCGCCGAGGCCAAGAGAACTTTGGACAACTATAATCATTGCTCCCGTCTCAATAAAAAGTTTTGAGAAATTATTTAATCAATTTACAAAAAACTCTGTTCTCAAGACTTATTAAAACATACGTCGAAAGCTATACTCAAAATAATAATGAAAACTTCAACGCTGCGGTGCGGCAAATTCGCTCCAAAGAATTTTTTTGCATTGAAAATTATAGAAATTTCTGTTTTTCTAGCAGCCTATACTTTTAAAGACTATTCACTTTTATTAAGAATCATGGAGGTGTTGGGAACAAAAAATTGGTTCCATAAGCCAAAATTTTCGTCGATTCAGCATGATGCCGAACGATTAAAAAGCGAAGAAATTGCCAAGTGTTTTTACGAATCACAGAAAGCTAAAATGGGTCGTAAATACAAATTGCTAAGTAGATTTATTTGAAAAAATAGAGAGTATACTTTATATAGGCTTCCGGAACAGCTGATTAGATGTAAGTAGTCAAATCCATAGTTAAATATAAAATAATATTCTAAACTTTTAACTCAATTTTCTCAAAATCTCAAAATATTATTCAAATCTGTGGAAGTGATTACTAAAAAACTATTAAATATATCACTTTGAAATTTAACATGCTTATGAAAGAAAGACATTTATCGTCTGAACTACAACGATATTTATATCGCAATAGTTTTTTAATGCTAAAACAGACTAGAATTTTAGCCAAAAATCACACTTAATTTTTGAAAAGTTGCCGTTTTGTTAAATTTTAATCTTTAATATTGTAATTTAGACAATGACAGTTATATTTCAAGTCAATTAGTTTAGCCTTCCATCATTTCCACAGAGGAGAAGTGTCCTCTTTCTGTAGTCCTCATTTAATATCATCTATACCTACTTCATTCACTAGGTAATTCTACGATAATCAAAAATACCCCATCATAATTTATCAAAATCAATAAATACTTCTAAAAAAAAATTAATCTTATTTGCATCAATATTTTTCTCTAAAAAAATTCTTAAAAACTTTTTCTGATCTAAAATAAGGTACAGCAGTATTAAAGCGCTTCCAAACAATTCAAATTTATAAACAATATATACAAAAATACATACAAACACTAACAATATTATATATAAACTTTATGTAGAAATAAAAATAAGTAAAAAGAATCTGATTTGTCTCTTCGAAACATTTTAACATCGAATTAAAATATGTTTAAGATTTACTTTCTGCCAAAAATCAAACTTTTCATTTAATTTTAAGATGATGGATGAAGAATGAAGGAATAAGTAATTATAGTTTGGTTACATCTTGTATACGATATATCGCACTTACGATGTAATAGATTTTTCCAACTACCATAAATGGCTCTGATGCATTTGTTCAGGGGCGTACTGCTCGGCAGTACTGTTGTGTTCTCACGCGGGGCGCGCAGATTGCCTTCGGAACAGCTCCTAAACAGGTTCTGATTGACACCGATCTTGCTCACGGGCATTTCGTTTAGGTGTAATTTCGCCATTAAATTTTCCGGAATTCCATGAGAAAGCCAGGTCTCTATAGCGGGATCGCGAAAACTTTTGTAGGTGGACGACAACTTTCTCGAGGACTTTTGCAGAAATCGTTTTCCAGGTGGCAAGGGCGGAGGACCCAGACAATTCGTTACGGCAGTGATCGCCATTGTAATCTATTGGAATTTATTCCAAATCGTTTTGAATGTAGACAGAATTTTTAAAATTCTGATGCACGATTATCACCATAAATTCACATGAGTCACACTTTAGTGACGTTCCATTGATTTCCTTTCATATATCTCGACAATTGGCACTTATTAATATCTGATATTTAAGAGTCGATAGAATCTGTCTCAAATACATTCATATTATTAGAAGAAAATTATTACACAGATTGCTTTTTACCAATATTAATTGTGCTCTATATAAATATTTCTTCAAAATATAAAACTTATAATCACTTCTCTTATGTAATATTATATGTAACACATATAATCACCATTAACATTTCTTTTAAATTACTTAAATTAAATTACTTATGCTATTTTTATTTTTATTATTATTAGAAAGAAAATAATCCAAATCTTAACGTTGCTTCTGTAGCTTGAATTTTTCAATCTCAGCTCATAAAACAACCATGAAAAAATATATATTTTTCTGCATCAGTCACACAGTTACTATTTGTCTTTAAACGAGACCGAGAGCGAAAATTACATGAATCAAATTAAATTTAGCGCATGTTTTTTGACACCTCACGTAATAAATTATTATTTTACTTTATTAAATTCACCGTAGTATATTTTTTATTAATATTTAAAGGTGATTTGTTTAGCTTAATTAGACTTAGTCAATATTATTAAAATTATTATATGTAAATTTGATTTAACAGATTTGTTAAGTCAATCACTATACAGAAATCTGAACAAAACACTTGTTCATGGGCTGTACACACTAATAACTCAGCATATAAAAGAAATTATTTACACAGTATGGCAAAAACATTAATTGGTTTAATCGCTTTTTGATAAAATAGTAATTTCGTTTGAATTACTTAAAAATCAGTTTATCTTACAAAAATTAAGAAAATACACAATAATGTATCGAATTTGGTCGATCAAACAACTTGACTGATCGTCAAAAGTCTTATAAAGGAAAAGCACAGAGACAGTCCCAAATACAACTGTTGGAAAGTGTGTGGTTTAGATAAGCGCAGGCGCACGTACGGATCGGTGAAACGGCACATTGATGGTGACAAACGCGAATGGAGATCGAAGGTGGGTGAACGGGTTCCGGAGTCTGTGGCGTGGGCCGCGATTCTGCTAGAGTATGAGTGGATAGCATGAAAAGCACGGCATGTGAATCGACGCAATATATGGGAATATTGAAAGAACATATTGAATGACAGCAGAAAAGGCAGGACTAAGATATCTGACGTGACGGAGAAAAAAATCTAATAGATCTCATTGACTATTTGACAAGTTTTGTGTAAGAATGACGGGCGGTTCGCAATCAGCAGGAAATAACATGCGCATTTTCCTTCCATTTTATAATACCCACTAAAACATTTTTTTTCTAGAATACTCTTCAGAGTGTTTCAGAGTGATTCTAGAAAGTACATTCCAAGAAGAAAATATCGATAGATGTATTAAAATATTTTTATTGTAGATTAAGATTAAAAAAATTGTAAGTTAATATAACTGGTACTGCAATTTTAATCCTTCGCATAGTAGTCATGATATCCAGCGATATTTGGCTGACCAATTCAAGGATGATTCCAGGACATTCCCGATAAAAGTCCTGGTTTTTTCAGCTCAATTAATTTTCATTACTTAATTTTTATTGATTTGCGCAATATTATATGCTTTGTACTCAAATTAGGATTCTAAATGACAAATCAATTAAAACAAATTTAGAATACTATTTGTCGCTTTATCAAGTGCTTGTCTTATTGCATTTTTAAGAGAAAGCTTATGCAACCACAAACTTTTCCAAAAACAACGTTACCGATGTTTTCGACAAAATTCCTGCACACGCGCAAGAAATATTTCTTTTTTCCTTCTTTTTTACGATCGAATTTTTTTAGAATAAAAAAATGACAAAAATTTAAGGTCAATCCCGAAATTCCAGAAGTTTTCCAGGAATTTTCGAAGACGCATTAAATTTCGAAATAATTCCAGCATTCAAAGACATTCAAGGATCGCTGGACACCTTGAGAGTCCATTGAGGCGATATTTTCTGACATTGGTGACCGCAATCAGGTTTTTCATACTTCGCGGAATACCATTAATGACTCCTGCACATGCAGGACGCGTCACGCTAAGGAATAACACGTGAGCTACGCATTGACCAATAGGCGTATAACTTTTCGTCATAAAAATGATTTTCATAATTTAATTGTTTCTCTTTGTCAAAATTTATGGGCGCAAACATCCTGCTGTCCCTTCCTTTTGCGTATAATGCCCATGGTCACTACCAATTGATCAAATAAAAACGCCGTTAGCACTATCGTTTGTTAAAAATTATAGAAACACATGTAAAATGACGGTGACAATGACATTCTTTAAATGTAAATTTGTTAGGTCGGATGTAGAATCGTAATATTTCCATTAATAAAACATAAACATAGAGAAAAAATAAACACATTTATGATACAATTCAAACCTTATCAATTAATCTAATAAAAACTTAATTAGTTTAATTGTTATTAAAATCTGATAATCTGGGTCTGATAATCTTCTTTCTTATCTAAATAACTCACATATAGCTATACATGGTTTGTTTCGTTATTACGTGCACACATGACACAAAATATACAATCGTATTTCTGAATACAAAATTAAGTATCAAAAAATAAAACTTTACGAGATATTTCATATTGTATATCAAAAAATATAAAATAAAATATTTGTTATACATGTACAGATATAAACAGTTCACGCACACGCATGCATACACTTCTTTTTTAATGACTTTTCTTTTATTTTTCCATAATTTCATATGTAAAATAATAAGAAAAATCAAGTAAGAAAACATAATTCCATGCAATGTAAACACAAGTCACTTACGTATACAGTAATCTCTCTAATTTTGGCCTACCTACGGGGCAATAAGAACGGAATGCCAAAATTACAAAATGCCCTCACCATACACGAATCTGCCAATCACACAATCTTTATACATAATCTTATTACATTGCCCTACCTTTTATAATATGGAAAGGACATGGCATTAGTGTTTGTGGAAGTATGAGAAAAAATGCAAAGATTAAAGAAGCCAAAGTTAGAGAGACCACTGTATTATCAAAAATTCGCAACTTTATTTAACGTATAGAATAACTTGATTCACACTCATCTTCCTAGAAATTATCAAAATAAAAAAACTAATAAATAATTACTAAATAAATAAATAACTAAAGTACAGTTTATATAATACAAAATACACTAATAATTTCTGAGAAATTTTTTTCTTTATATTAAATTTCTTTCTATCACATTAAAATCATAAAATATTTCAATTTTATTTATACTATTAAGATAATCATCAGAAACTGTCTCTAACATTGATTCTTTTAATAAACAAAATTAATTCGTATCAAAATAAAAATAATAGGATATTCGAATTGCTGATTTTAAATATGATATTAAAGTATCAAAATTAAAAATGGGGAAACTGACGGATGTAAAAATAAAAATTTTAAAACACTTAATGCTTTATGAAATTAGTAAAAAAAATACAAATTCAAAAAATGATATTAAAACTTTAATAGCGAATCTTTGATGGTATTTTAATACCTTAAAATACTACCAAAGATTTGCTATTTAAAGTTTTAATGTTATTTTAGGTATACTCAAATTACGAGAGAATTCTCGATAAATGTGATAATCTATACCATTATTAAAACGACGAACTCATTATTACATATTATTTTTGTCATAATCTTTTAATTACCTTACAGTTAATCATAAAAAGATTTCAAATTTAATGTTATGCTTTATTGGAAGATTATTATTATTTAATAATCTATTATTATTAGTCAATAATTTATTATTATTTATTTAAAGATTGTTATTATTTAAACATTGTTATGTATTATAGACGATTAAATGGAATATTAATATTAAATTATATTCTTAAATTTTATCATATAAGTATAATATAATTATGCATTAATATCTTTTAAGTAAAAAAAGCACATCTCTCGGAAATGATACGTTTACTTTCGAGAATCAACATTTATTTTAGTTATAACTATTTCGCACTTATATTACTAACAGCTGAACATTTCGTGATGTGTTGCTGCTACTATTGCACATTAAAACAAACAAAACTGAAAAGCAGGTGTGCGTTCCTTCATACATAACTGAACAACGGATGTTCGCGACACGCGATCGGTACTGTCGAGAAAGTTTGATCCACATAGCAATATCTATAACACAGATATTTTTTTAAAGCAAAATAATTTTTTAAGGCAAACTGCACAATTATGTAATAATAAAAATGTAATAATAATCGATACTTAATATCACATAAATAAAATTGTATTACAATTCAACTTTAATTATAGCCTCTATAATATTTTTCCCAATGTAAAAATATTGAAAACTAATATATTCTCTTCTTCTCGGAATTTTTATTGGAAACATTTCTTTCGCAACAAATACGATCGAGAAATAGAAAAATGTCTAATTTAGAACTTAACTCCACGTTCTAACGAATAAACGTACCTATTTCATTCATTAAAACAAATTTCCTGAACCTATCATATATTACCTGGATTCCATTATATATTCTATTGTATCAACCACCTATTATGAGCTATTTTCTCGTTAGTTAATGTCACGAGCATCGATGTAACAAATAAAAATAATGCATCGAATCACGAAATTTTTCAGCAGAAGCCGGCATATTATAATAATACTTTGAATGTGCATACAACAGACGAGATTTTTTTATCGTATCAAAATAAAACAAATATTTCCTCGGAATGAGAATGTATATAAATACAATATGTTCTTTTAAATATAATGCAGAATAAAGCAGTGTGTATAGTATACCGCTATTACGGTATCAATATATTTATTAATGATATCATATAATATCATTACTGTAATAACTACATTATTTTAATTTATTTATTGTATTAATGATTAAATCTTTATACTTCGATTAATCTCCCTCTCCCTGCCCCCTTCCCCCCCCCTCTCTCTCTCTAGTTGAATTCTTTTACTATTTCAATAAATACATACGTCACTATCATTATATGTAAAAATAATCCAGTAGATATACTTATAAAAAAATGTTTTTTTGTCTATACTATAACACAGTCAAAGTTCATCAAAATTGAGAGGAAGAAGAGGGACATGAATCCAGAGAAAATCACCGTCGAAATTTGATAAACGCTCTGTTTTGAACATGAAAAAATTTTAAGGAGGTCAAAAGTTCGCGTGAGACGATATTTTCTTGTTAGAAAATACAACCTACATTTGCTAAATATTTCTTCCTTATATTTAATTAAATATAAATTTATGTCATAGAATATTAATATACATTTACGAATTCTCTACAATTCTCCATATATAAAATACAATAGTAATACACGTTAGTTTCTTTTTTGCTGTTTGGTATATTAATGTTATTTTTCATTACAGAACAGTTTGTCCGAAACAATTACCACCAACGAAATTACTATAAAAAAAGTAAAAAATGAAGAAAGTGACACATTACGACATTCGGTTGATAGAGCAGACGGAAATTATAAATGACGGCAATCATCAGATCACGTAAAACATGATAATATACAGAATATCGTGATAGGAAGCTATATCAAGTGCAAAAAATCAGAGCGATAAACACGTAAAAGATGCAATCAAATATGAGCGCTATGAACTTGCAGAGGCAAGAAACGCCGTTAAATATATCGAACTTTTTGTACTTAAAGCATATAGGCTTGTTCTCTCTTTAAAAAACAGACCTTATGAAGCATATTATCTATCAGAATTTTACGAAATCGAAGGATTATGACAAAACAGATGAGCAAAGAACAATATAAACATTTAGTAACTAACATAAAAACATGAATCCCAGAAGTATACCAGACTCATTATTTTTCGTACCGGCCGTACTACATTGGGAAGATTACGGTCGAAATTCGATGAACACGCCACTCTGGTTAGACACAGAAAAGTTC